AATCCATTAGCTTCGTTTTTAAATTTCAATGCTACAATATGAGCAAACCGAGTTCATAGAACCAAAACAACACAATGGTAGTTACTGTAGTCAACTGACACATCTCGTAACTGAAAGCAGCTCGATTCAAACTTGCGCGATTATAGTTGAATGTAGCGCTCGCGCTTCACGCGTTCGTATATCCGAATTTCTTTCACGTTCATTTCGGTCGTCACTTCTTGTGCACATGATTAGGTCGGTAATTAGTTTGGTTTCTAGCATTTAGGGTTCTTACTAAAATGATTCGTCTAATAGGGGGCATATCTATATTATAATGTTTCAGAACGCCGACATTAAATCCTCCAACCATGTATTCTGTGCTCAACGCACACTGTTTTGAAATATACATGATTGAATTTGAATTTGTATAACGGTAATAAAGTAACAATTGTAGGGTTCACCGTTGCCAATTCCAGAAAACCGGTGATTGCGCGGACCGGGGGGGGTAATTAAATATTTAATTGCTCAAATAAAAGTGTGTATCGTGAGTGAGAGTGTTAATTTATAAACTTAACATACTTCATCTATTTATGAAATTCAAATATTAATAAAAATAAATGAAAAAAGAAATATTTGCTAAAACATTTTATACTAAATTATCTATTATGTAGTGTTTTAACATACCTTTCTAATATTTTTTTTTTTTATACGAATTACACTACTTTTCGGAAATTTCTTAAAATGTTGTTTCGCTCAATAAATATAGTCTTAACTTCTGTTATTCTTAAACAAAGAATATGATGAATTATTTTAGGTTATAGAGATATGTAAAAATTTGTATGTAAACTTACCTGTGTAATTATTCGTTTTAACATTTATTTCAAATTGTTATTGTATATCTAATATTCAGCTTTGATACGAAATGTCGATACGAAATACGAAAATTCGATTACTTATTCAAAATGAAGATAACCGAATAGCATTCCCGGGGGATTTATCCTGAACTGTTTGCGCGTGCGATTCCGCATAATCGCCTAGATGCTGTCTCTGTCTGATATGCGTAGAAGAAAGAGACAGCGGATGGCGATAAACACGAGAATCGGCAAGACCAATTTTCATGTTCTGCTCTTTATCTATCTAATGAAGAAGAAAGGACAAGATTTTCTGATGAAAAGAAAAGCTTTAAATTTTAAGTTGAAAATGTATTTATTTTGTAAAAAATTTGAAAATGTATTGAAATTGAAAAAGAAAAAAAAAAAAAAAAAAAAGAGAGATAATTTTTCAAAAACCGGAGGACCGGAGATGAAGCTCAAAACCGGAGTGTTCCGGTCTAAACCGGAGAGGTGGGAACCCTATTCAAATTGACTCTTTGAGTTAGGAACATACCTACGAGTGCTTATACAACAGCTATAAAGCTCAAATTGACTCTACGCTTTAGTATAGAAAACATTTGTATGGGAAAAAAGGCTGTTTTTAGGTTTTTTCGGCAAATTATTCGAATTTTTCTCGACGTAAAAAACTCCTTGAACTTACCCGAACATTTTAAAAAAGAAATTACTCCAAATTGGTCCAGGTGTTGTTGAGTTATGCGCTTACCAACACATTTTGCGATTCATTTTTATATTATAGATAGACTAGTAGCGAGGAGAGGGAGAGAGCAGAGGCCGAAACGGAAGAGAACATAGAAGACACGGCCACGCCAGTCGAAGAAGAAAAAGACATAGCAAAGTGGACGATGAAGCAATGGAAGAGGCTACAGAAGCATTGGGCGTAGGTCTGACAACTACAGGAGACAAAACGCTATAAGACAGCTCTAATATATACCGACCTTAAAGATGATGAAAAGACCGACAACTCGAAGAAAGAAAGCATGGAAAGAAATAGAGGCGAATGGATAGACGAACACCACGGGCAGTAATCTTCTTCCCGGTAACCTCGAGTAGAAAAAGTGGGGACCTGTGCGAAAGGGAAAAGGAATTATGTCTTGTTTCCATGAAAAAGGTGTAGCTCGAGCGAAATCGGGATCAAGTTCGTCGAGCGTGTCGTCAGGTGAATGCCAGAACGCGCGTCGCCGAGAAAAGTGGCGCAAACACAACGCGCGCATTGGAAACGGATGACTATGACAAAAAAGGAACGATGAGGAATTGTCGCCGGAAGATGACAATGCCGATAATAGATATTGGGCTCGAACGAAGAAGGTCGAAGAGACAGAATGAAGGAAGCGACTCGGGCGATCGACGCCGCGACAGTCGGCGTAACTGTGAATCGCAACACGGTATGGGAAACACAATCGCGGAGCATACGAGCAAGACGATCGACGCAAGCGGGGGCAGAACGCCCGACAGTACATTGCGAATGGCGGCGCAGCCGACGACGGGAACATGACCTCAGTGACGAATAACGAAGATGTGGACTGCACACAGCTTGTTCATAATTAGGGATGCTGAAGGAAGTTTATTACACTTCTCCGGAGATGACGGAATGTCACCAAACAATGGATCCGCGAGCTAGACGTCGGCGAACTCCTGCAATGGAATGACGTACAGAAAAATATATATGCGATATTGCATGGGTCCGCAAAGAAATTCATGTGGTCGCAAGAGACGTCCAATTGGAATACATTTACAAGTGTGTTGTGTCAGGAGTTCGCTGTCAGAATCAACTCAGCAGTGATCCACAACCAGTTGCGTCAACGTAGGCGGACGGCCAACGAAACGGGACAACAGTGTGTATACTCAATGATGGAGATTGCGCATCAGGTCGATGAAGCGTTCATTTGAGTAAATCATAGATGGTATTCCGGACAGCGAGATCAACAAGGTAATTCTTTATGACGTGGAAACAATTCAAGAGTTGAGGAAGAAACTGGAAATATGAGGGTGAAAGACACGACATGTCAGTTAAAAACTATGTCCGGTAAAGAAGAACAGAAGAAAAGTGAAACCTCCTGCAACAAGAAGAATGAGGAACGACTGAGTGCCAGCCACAAGCGGTGTTTTAATTGTGGATCTAAAGATCACGAGAGATCTGGGTACCCGTACGAGGAGCTGAAATGCTTTAAATGCAATAGATTCGAGCATGCTTCTCGTCGATGCTCGGAGAAGGGGAGGTAGGTTGCATCCATTCGAGCGAAGACAATACAAGGTCATGACCGCTATGGACCGTTAGAATCGACTGTGAAGAGGAAGGCCCACAAATTGCAAAGACAGCCGCCGGTTACATGAAACTTATTGAAGTCCCTTCGCAGGCCGAAGATTTATGAGCTGATGTGGCAGTGCAAGTTATATGCTCTCTGGACAGAGCATTGCGCCAGTGTGATATGTAGTTTGAATGATAAAATTTCTCTGTAGCTGATGAAAAATATGATCTGATTGTGTGTGTGTGGGGGGGGATCAGAATTGTCATTTTCTACTCATATGTGTATTAGACACATAGCTTGTTTGTAAATACACCAAGAAATTTACGTTAACAAATCCAGACTACAATTAAATTATTTATTTTAAATTTGTATAAATAATATTTTGATACATTGGAGATGGTTATTAGTTTTGATCTCTCCAATAAATTTATCGCTTACTGTCGAATTTTAATTTTTTATCTGTTATATTTAATACTTTACATAAAAGGGTGAATAGAGGAATTGATGGATGTAGAAAAGCATATGAATAGTGAAAGGGGTTAAGCACCTCGTAAGAGCTAATGTATTTGGAACGTGGAAGTTAATGCGAATGTTTTTTTCTTACTAGCGACTCAATTTATAGTGTATCCAATTGGTTCAAATATTTTTGAAGTGTTTTAGAATGCCAACATTAGAATTTCCTCCGCCTTTCATCCACAATCTTGATTTCACCTTGCAAGTGAGGTATTCCATAAAAAATTGCACCTTTCGTGAATTTTTTCCTCCTTAAATGTTGTTTTTAAATGACTGAATACCAAAAAATTGTAGAATATCAAGTCATTTTTTTGCAAGGAAATGGACCGATTTGAGTTTTGGTTTTAGTCTGAGAAGTAGTATCAGATCCTACACTGCCCCAATAGTGCCATTTGCAAGTCATTACAAGTAGCTCTAAAGATGAAATTTTCGTAGCAAAACAGCTCTTTAAGTTTTTGAAATAATGAAACAGCTGTTAGCTTTTTGCCAAAACTACAGGTCTGTCTCTTTTTCTTTTTTCTGCTTTGTCAGGGGTATTGTACTTCAATTTCCACAATCTCGTAAGTATAATTTTCAGAACTTTAAACTGTTTACTGGCCTTCTTCTTATTCATTTTTACCAAACTGCATGAATAGCATTTTTGATAGGGTTTGCTTTGATTAACTGTCCTCATTATTCTCTCGAATACACAACAGAATTCTGAGAGAATAAAGAGTGTGAGCAAAAGCAGATATATTTTAACTCTGAATCAATAAGGGGTCCAGTTTGCGCAACTAGTAAACTGAATAGCAATTTTGTTAATCCATTTATTTTCTAACAAACTGTTGAATGGTAAACATTAACCTGAAACTTTACCATTTAAGAAATTATGGGCCAAAACATTTATCTCTCAATATCTACAAGAAATAATAAAAGACAAAGTACAATGTAAAAACTTGCGCTTTTAAAAAACCTAATCCTGGACAGGTAGCAACAAGTACAGTTGATGACGTGTGCTCTGCTAGTGAGAAACAAGTCAGGCCAGAGCTACGAATCACAGGTGACTAGAGTTCAAGTGAATGCAGAGCCAAGAGACCAGGAGTTTACTTTAGGGAAAGTACTCTGGCTTAGGGCCTTTTCCTCTACTAGTACAATGCAAGATGAATGTAATATGTGAACTATCTTAGTCCATCTGGACTTTGCTACTTATTTTTTCCATTTCACCTGTGTGAAAATCGAGCATTTTATTCAAGTCCCTACTGCTAGATCACGGCTCATTGTTACCTTCTCACATACACATCCTGCATATGAGGTCAGCCTTGTGCAGAATGCTATGCATATCCGATCTATACACATGAAGAAAAAAAGCAGTGCAGGTGTAAATTTATTAAATTAATTGATGAAAACATGTTTTATTGAACTTAAATTACATTCAAATAAATTAAGAACAGTGACAAAATATATTAAACATCGATCTACTAATTGGACATAAATATAGTTTTAAAATTGTCAGACAGCCTCACTTTGCACTTATCATTACCAATTGAGGTAAGAATGTATCCATGGTTAATAGTCTGCCTTTAATGTATGCTAATCGCTGAAACACAATATCAACTAGTGTCCTATGATCTTTTCCTCAAAGCTGGACAGTTGATAGTACAAGAAATGTGATCAACAGAAATTTCCAAGTCCTGCATCCACAACATGTTGCAAACTGCTGAGACTTCCTTCTACTTATGCTTCTGTAACGACCCTGGATAATGATGTGAAGCCTTCAAAATCTTCAAATGTAGAGATATACTGCTTGTAAATGACATTCAAAAAACGATGGAAGTTGCTATTCTTGCATTATGGCTGTCAACCTTAGCAAATTCCTGCAGTTGAAAATTGGTATTCCAAGTCTATAATTTTTTGTTGCATTTATTTTGCTGGGAAAAAACAAAAGGAAAAGAAGAACAATAATCTTAATAAAACAAACAGTAGCTATTGTGTGAAAAATCTTTGAAATGTGTTTAGGGCTCAAAATAAACTGTAAATTGTACTGAGTATATTTTCAAGAAGGAAATCTATACTTAAAGGGAGTGGCCAAACAGTATTCCACCCAATAAATGTACTACACAAATTGGTAAGTGCTCAATGATGTCATTGCTCTCTACCACTAATCAAATTTCAATGAATGCAGGTAATGCTTTAAAGTTCAGGATTCACAACCACTGCAGTGTTAATATTTAAATTTAAATATAAGCACACTTACGTAATTATGTACCTCTGTTTTAAACTTATTAGGTACTTAGGTATTTCGTTAAGAGTAGCGTTATATTACAATAATTTCGATTATTCTCAAAATGGCTCGGAATGGTTGTAGAATTTGTTATTCTGGAATGTATTCTTTTGAAGAGAATGTTATTTGTTTTTTTGTGTAGGAAATTCCACTTAATAATTTCCTCCGTTTTAAATGAATTCACTTTCGCTGTGCAAATTGTACAACAATGTAAATCTTGGTTGGCGAAGCGATAGTTATTGTTGGTGATTGAAAAGTGATCACCGCTACCAAAGCTTTCGGCCGAGCCGAATCTGGCCAATCTACGGCGGTCATAGGATCACTATCTTCGCTTCGACTTCTCGGTGAATGCACACGAATTGTAGAGAACACCCTTGTCGAGTGAAAGAAGAAAAAGTGCATTACGTTCTGAAGTAGATCGTGATAAGATGCTCCAAATGTCCGCTTCATTGCCTAGGAGCGACTCCACCCGGAAAAGTTCTCAATGTTCTGCGAAGTCGTTCGAGGCACGGGTTTTGTAAGTGGTGTGGTTTGCGACGACTTGATTGTCGAGTCGTAGATATCATGGACGTCTAAATCGGCGCTGTTGGCTGATGAGCTGTCGGTGAAAGTGTCAATGTTAGTTTCGCCATCTTAAAAAACAGTATTGCTAGTGGAGGAGAAGTTCTCGGGCACAGAGTCGTCGGCAGTGAAGGAAGCGAGGGCGAGGGCGGCCGTGGTACCGGAGGGCGGCGGCGTCAGTCGACCTTCACGCCCCTGGCGGTCGCGCGCCGTACGGCCTCCTCTGAAATGCGCGTCACTTCAGCGTCCATGATGGCGCGCGTTTTTTCTATCAGCTCATCCAGGTCGTTGCGACCCAGCCCTTTCGTAGGCACGGGAGGTAGGATGGAGATGATATTAGAGCCTGCATAAACAGAGATACAAGATTAGTACTGAATATAGTGACGGAAACCTTGATTGTCATAAAAGTCCATTAACCAATGTGAGAACCCTTTAAAATTGCCATATTTTGTTTTGGGACCTTGCAATCACTAAAGTGGAATGAAGAATGCGCCATAATTCAGATTCCAGAAAAATATTACTCTCATTTTCACTTACCACAATAGTGTAAAATTACATTAAAGATCCCTACATCTCTCTAAGCTTGTGAAAATATTAAGTCGAAAAATATTTGTAATTTTTAAAATTCCATATGTGTAAATAGGATTTTAATCATTTTTTGAGAGCTTTTGGTCTACATACAGAATTAAAGAAAACTAGCTACACCCATGCGATTACATTGCACACTCGGAAGGCATGCTGTAAGTAGTCTGTTAACCTTAATGGTTTTCTGATGTATCTTTATTACTGGCCTTCCTTGTGTTAGCTTCATTTACTAAAGCTAACACACAAGGAAGGCCTGTATAAAAGTTACATCAAAAAACATTAAATGCCCAATAAATGGAGAGATTTACAAAGTCTGGAAATTATTTGGAGCAACTCAAAGCGGCATCGACTCAAGTTGTTGCAAGTCCCTTCCAGGAATGTTGGTCCATGTTGCCACTATAGCCGTCCATAATTGCCAAAGTGGCCTGTGCAGAATTCTGTGCACGATCTGACCTCGTTATATCCCGGCGATCTGGGTGGCCAAATCATTCGCTCAAAAGACCAGGCTTTTGAGTGGTCTGCCCCTTGGGATGGACTTCGCCTAACTGTTCGTTGTGCGAATCCCAGCGAGGTCTGGTGACTGCGTGTGCAGATGTGGTCTGCGTGCTTCAGTACACTACTTTTGGCCTTTGCCTCTTCTACGCGGACAGTGTGGTGCTAACCCTCTCCCGATCAATCGGCGCGGATTAGGTCTTTGAAAATTCGAGGCTGAGCGGGGGGAGTTGTAACAGGGTAGCACTGTCATCCCCCCACTACATATCCATGCGAACCCTGGCATCTCAGTCCCCTGTTGGACTTCAGGGAGGGTGGGGAGCACGGGGATGAATTGAAATCCTTTATATTGATTACAAAACCATCTCAATGGAAAAGGAGACATTATGAAGGCCAAGAAGAAAGAAATTAAACAGTTTCAACTGCAAAGACTCGGTCTAGCCTGCTAAGATGCTTTTTCTCATGGAATGCAATTAACAAGATTGTTCAAAAGAGTCAGTTATTTTTGGCCCGTGCCATCGATGAGTGGTTTGGAAATCTTCAGTTGATGGTTCGTCAGAGAAATGGTACCATTCTTTTTCGAAGCTGACAGCCAAATCGAAAAGAAAAGAGATTTTCGGTCTCCAGGTTAAGGCGTCTACACACCCTTGCCTCAATTTCATCAAAGCTGTCGTGGATCACGAAGACTTCGCTGGATAAATCAAACTAAAATGATTCTTTAGAACACAGTGTTGTAGACATATACAGGAAATGGAATCCCAACTCCTATTTCTCTTACATTCGACTGCCCTTCGCTTTCTGAAAGAATCCCGCGCGTCTTCTCTAACCTCCGCGTGCGTCAGTACCTGCCGAACCATTGCGCTTTTATAAATGGCAGAAGTTTGGCCATAACGTCCCGTCGTAAGTAAATCCCAAACAATTTGTAGACATTTAAAAAAACTGAAAATATCACTGGTGCTTCATGTAAAGTACCCTCCAAAATTAAAATATCTTTATGATCAACGAAACTGCAAAAATAGATCTTAATCCCTTCCTATTTACCAAGTTTGTCAAAAAAATTTAATTTGGCAGAGTTATGCATGACATTTTTACATCCAATCATGTAGACATGTATCCCGATTTTCTTTACAACATTGCATCGTCATTTGTACCGATCTAACCATCTTTGGGACAACATCAATCTACCTTTATCCTGACGTGTGTATGAAGTTACAGCTGAAAACAACATTAAACACGCATTTATGATCGAAAATTCGAGATCTTATTGTTGAGGCGATTCTAATACTTTTTCTCCCTATACTACATGAGGTACATACTACTACACTGTGTAATATTTAGTTCCAAAGGTAGGGGATTTTAGTTCATTGTTTCGTAAACCAGACTTTTCATTTGCTGAAATAATTTCTTTTTTTAGACATTTAATACAAAATATTAACTATTTTTAAATAAAAATAAATTAAATATTTTTTTCATGAACAGTACATTGATTGAATCTGTTAGATTGGGAAGAAAATATTCAAAACTGATCTTGAATTAGATATGGTAAATTTCAGCAAAAAATGCGAAATGTTAACACTGAAAAAAATTGGAATAGTATGTTTGAAAGTCCGATCAGTATATTTTGAAATCACGTACAAAGAGCGCAATGTTCGTGGATCTGCGATACAATTGCTGCAGATTTAACTGACTGAAGTAAAAAATGATAATAATTAAAAACTGATCGTGAAACCCTGAGCGCCCAGGATAATCTCAAGGGGTCTCAGATTCCTCAGTTTATCTCTAAACACAATTTATTTATAAAAAAGATATTCTAAGTTCAACGAACTGGATTTAGATACTTTTTATCTGCTTATAATAATTTCATAATCATTTAATAATATTTGAGAAAATCAATTGTTGACAAAACAAGGTAGATTTCGTTTTACCCAAATCGCAGTAACGTGTATCTGATCACCTACCAACAGTGCTAGAAGCTGAATGATGTTTCCTTTAATGTAGCTTAATTGTAACTGTCAGAAGAAATAGGTTAAAGAAAGCCAACATAAATATATGCTCTCAGTTAATTTCCCACTGATAGTGTTACATATTGATAATAGGTATTTATATTATAATGATTTCATTCAACAAAATGCATATCTTTTGAAAGAATTAAATTATTAAAAATGTTTACCACTATATTTTGCATCAAAAAGACCGCCTATTGTTTCTCGGAAGAGAGAAAAGTTTACACACTATTGGGAAGCCATTTGTCGGCTCTCGGGCGTTTAAGATAAATTGATTAATACAACAATTTCAAGTTGATGTATATTTTCAAAATTTTCGCATTACTTTAAATCATAAACACATTTAAAGGCAAGTAATCACAATGGCTTCCTGTCCATTTTATTAAAGATAACATTACTTGAAAATGTTTCTCTATACTACGTATACGAGAAAGTAAAAAAATGGAAAACTAATTAAGTATATTCGTAAAATTGGGAAGGTCGTTTTTATCTCGTGCTAATTTAATTAAAAAAATATATCTCTTAAAATCTAGAGAAATTTTAATATTAAATATTTCAATCGTGTTTCTAGCCAGTAAAAAACATCGCTGGCTGCCCTTCTCAGAAATCTATACAAGGAAAGATCGTTTACTCCTAGTTCGCTTGCACGTTTTGATTCGACGACTCACCTCCGTCGAATTTCTTCGTCTTGGCGTCGAGGAAGTAGTACCGCGACACGGCCACCGGCAGCAGCGGCCGCTGGGCGTCCAGGGCCACGTGGAACGCGCCTTTCTTGAAGGGCAGTAGCGCTTTGCCATCATTGCGCGTGCCCTCCGGAAACATGCACAGTTTTACCTGCACAAAAGTTTGAATGACTCGTTAATACGAACATATGCTCTAGTCAAAAGCTTCACGCGGATCTCTGTATCTGGAGTGTTTAATTTCAAGTACAATTCAAAATTTTAAAAGTTAGCTGCGCATCATTCTCTTTGCAGTGTTTTTTTTTCAGATACGATGTTTTTAATTGGCTGGTGGTCGCAAATTCTATAATCAATGTATAGATCAGTGTTTCTCAACGGGGTTCTTATTGTGACCGCTCGCAGGAATTAGTCACCAGGCAGCTGCAGTTCAAAGTTCAATTTGCACGTGCAGCGGCTGGAATGACATTTACGTCGGATAACTTCGGTGAAGATCGAAATTACTTCGAAGAAGGGTTCGAAAAATAATATCAACCAATCTGGAACGAGTAAATTATCTACGCCGCCAGAAGCGAGGAAAACGAGCTTTCTTTAGAGCTGAGGAGAATGAAAAAAAACAAAAAAAACACCGAAGTCAAGAACTTTTTAGGCAACATCGTAACTGTCGGGTAATAGTCATAAAGAGGCACACCTGAGTCAACAGTGGAGTTGTAGTTTACAATACGTTTAGAATCGGTATCAAATTACAAGTTCAACGAGGATATGCGAGGTGAAGAGCGAGTCGGAATGCAATGCTGACGAAGAGGACGGCGCCGGACCGCCGGGACCCTTTTAACCAATCGGGAGCTTCGTTACGACTTACTTTTAGTATTGGTGGTCCCAGTTGGATAACGGTACCCCCCTCTCCCATCAGCTCGTGACTTTGAAATTAAGTTGTGTGTAAATCGGAGTATAGGCTAGTCGCAAAGTAAGACGCAGGTCCGAGACATGAACCACACCGCGTCTCATCATGCAACTAGCCTCAGGGTGACTCATGATGAGTTTCTGCAAACCTCTATACTCATTGGATCCGCGCACGTTAGAGCGCAGGGTGAAGTTTCTGCACGTGCGCAGCGTCTTGCACCCAGTTTCCTACGAATGTACACCGCGGCTTTGCTGAAGATGGGATAAAAACTAGTTGAAGCCATGCGTGATTGTAAAGTTCTTTATAACACAAATCATGATGTATTAAATGAAGATAAACTGATGTTTTATGAACCGTGGTAAAGCTCCTTCATTATAATTTGCCACGATTAAATGGTCATTTGTAATCGCGATAAAAAGACAATAGATCTGTCACGCACTCACCTTTTTTTGCCGAATGATGTTGGCGGTACTGGATATGGTTGAACGTGCCTTCTCACTGTTGAGCCGGTCGATGAAGATGGTGCCCCACAGCCATGTGGCCAGCCCGAACGGCCACAGATAGAACACCTCTTTCTTGGAAATAACGGCACCGTTCCCCAAGCGCGGCCATAACTCTGCAAAGACTGTGCGGCACCCACATAAGCTCGAAGCGTTATATGCTCAAATTGGAACGTGGATCTCATATCCCAGTTTCGTTTGTACCACACACGCTAAACTCTCGATACTTAGGAAGTCTAGTATCGTAAATCGGAAGCCGCAAAAGTGAACCAGAGAAGTGCTCTGCGGAAGGGGGACTATACATTTGAATTGAAGGGAGATGTTATGGTCTTACGTATATTACACGCCAAAAAATGTATAATTTTTCAGAGATCGATCAATGTCGAAAGACATTACAAGGGTCTTACAACCCTCTTTAGATACGTCACTGTTTAGAGCTCTACCATTATGGATCTGTATTTTAATGGGTAAATGATTACGACAATATGAATGAAAACTAAATAATACAAACATCGAGCGGGATTTGACCCCTGTTTCTTAGAGTGGAAAGCTAGTGCCGAATTATTTTAGAACACAGGGAATTTTTGTAATGTCCTGACCTTTAACCATGAATCACGACGCATCCAGCATTAGAATCTTAAAAAATGATAAATATTTTAAATTGGCGTTGAAAAAGTGTTTTGGCGTGCTGACGTCATACCCTACACACTACCACAAAATAGTCTTTCAGCGCAAAAAAGTCATAGATCACCACAATTGTTGTGATCACCTTGTTTCATGTGCTCTCGTGAGATTTGCTTAGTGATATTTCTTTAACTTTCTTGATCATGGATACGGTTTAGAATTTAGCGTTGCTTGTGATAATAAATATGCAGTTTTTGATTTAGAAGAGACAGTTGATACCATTGACAAATATCAGACGGTACCACATATACAATCCAACAAATATTAATCCAGCTTGCAACCATTGTGCCATTGTATCTATATCCATCTTCACTCACGTGACTTACAAGTAATAAACACGGCGACCATTTTGAAAAAGATTAGTGTACGGTTAACCTACGACCCTCGCTGTGAAATGAAGCGTGAGCTCATAGCTTACGTGCAAAGTTCGTTGTAATGGAACGTGTCTCGTAATGGATAAGATCAAAATGTTACAATTATTTGGCGAGAACTCACCCAACATATCAAGGGCGCTCTGATGATTAATGAGGACGACACAGCCTTCCTCTACAGCCTTCACGTTCTCCATTCCGCGAATCTCCCAGCTTATTCCCAGCAGCCATGACAACCCCCGGGCGAACCATGAAGGAATTCTGTGTAACACGACAAATTACATGTATTTACGACGTTCTCAAAGAAAATAAAAAGCTAGCCAGTAGCAAATGAGAACTAATCGTAAATAAAATATTGATAGAGGCAATTGTCGTATTAAATTATAAATTACTCTGTTTGTTAATATAATATTCACTGAATACATACAATTGGGCATAATATACATGTTTAATGTCTGTGACATATGAGCGTTGCGTTAACGCACGTTACCTAACGCTAATGACGTCAGCTGCGCCAATGCCTGCGCTCACGAGTCACATAACGCGCTACGTAGATTTACACTGTATCTTATGTGAAACGGCAAATGAGCTCTCTTGCCTACCTGCGTTGTTGCAAGCAGCTGTCTCCTGCCTGGAGGGCGTCGCGCTTTGAAAGCTATAAAACCCGCGTCATCTTGACTTGCGTTGAAGCTTGAGCGTCTTGCTTAAGCTGTGACCACAACGCACGCTGGCAAGGGCGCTCGTGTGTCTTTTCGCGTAAGGCACATTGTTAATCTACGACGCGCGTTTAGTGCATGTTGGATTTATTCCTTAATCTAATTTGCGTTTGCATATAAATTTCCGTATCTATTCAACTCCGAACTGTATGATATTTAAATTATTATTTTATTATTCTGATAATTATAATATTAAGCAAGTCTACCCCCTCCTACGTTCAACGTTATGTCATGACGACTAATCTGCAACGTACCAGATTTTTTTGTGTTTATCTCGGCGGTTAGCGATCGAAATGGCTTATCCATTCTCTCTCTAGTCATAATTACGCCTCCTATACATATCATTTCTTTTTTTAAGAGACTGTGATTCTCCCTCCCGGATATGGACTATAGTATCGTACTGCGAGCATTAATTTTTCCAGGTTTGTTTATTTACGCCCGGTACCATAACAACCCGCCCTTCCGTTCCTTATGTATGCATAAACCAAAATATACTAATATAATATCCAATAAATGTAATTTTTATATTGATGTCAAAGGGAGAGGAGTCTTCTGATTCGTCACAGTATGTATTCTATTAGAATTCTTTACACTCTGAATATTTACAAGTAAATTTGTGGGTGAGGTTAATGATAGTTCACAGTCGAAGAAAGCGAGAATAATTGTATTTTTCCATAACATTATATCAGGAAAAGTAAACATCAATGTTTCGAGTGTCAAAAAATAAAGCAATACATTACTTCCTAATGCGGAGATGGGTGTTCGTGGAAGGTAAGAGCACTGCCTGGTTGAAGGCTTAAACTCACAGTGCGTTCCGCCAGTTGCGGGGCCGCAGCAGCATGAGCGGGATGGGCCCGCTGCTCGTCACCATCAGCCACAGGGTGAAGAATGTGAACCGCGCGTGGTAGCGGAACGCGGCGCTGCAGTTGTACAGCAGCACCACGCCCAGCGGTAACATCCACATAACGGCCATCGCCAGGGAAGAAAACATGACGAACGCCGTTTCTGGGAGAAATTAACAACGAATAATAATACTAATATAATAACAAAAATATAGTTATAATTAGCCCACATTTTGCGCAACGTATTGCGGAGGCGCCGACACCCTAAGATCTCTTCCTTATGAAGCTGGTAGCAACCTGTAGTAGATTTTATATTCAACCGACTCATAACATCTCTAACCGTTAATAATAATAATAATTATTATTATTATCATTATAAAGTTAATCATTTTTAAGTGCAATAATATGTTTCATCTGCTCTTAACAATTTTCATGAATTTCAATATTTTAAAGGTTTTTTTTATGAACCGTTAGAAAACACTGGCTTTAAGGATCTACTTCAGCATCTGAAATATTTCATGTAAGTTTTCAAGCAAATATTGGAAATCTAGTGTTCCGATTCTTAATTACTTTATACACATGTTATGCTATTGATACGCTCCTAATAATTTACATTTTACTTTCTCGTATACGTGCCGTAAATGGAGAAATATACGTAGTATAGAGAAAGTTACGTAATGCTGCGGAAAATCGATTTCGACGGAAACCCGCGTTTTGGAGTCTCTTCATACCGAAAAAGTGTTGTTTTTTTTAAACGTCAGCAGATCGATCAATAAATTAACGGAGGGTTACTCCAAATAATAATAATAATTATTATTATTAATAAATGTTTGATTGCTCCTAGCAAGCGCTCGACGCCCTCCTAGGGGTTTGGAGACGCGTTTCTCAGACGCAACAAATTTAGAAAAAAAATGTTTGTGTTATTTGTGGGTGTTTTTTGTGGTGAAAAGAAATCTTCAAAAATATATTAAGCTAGCTCTACAAAGAAGTAGTTTCCTTGCGTGAAACGAGAGCACAGTACATTTAATAACCATCATTGTCGTAATTTGTGAACATTTTGTACCAGTGATCGTGAAGAACATCGCTGCCGTTACTCATGAAGTAATGGAGAGGTCTACGTACTTGAATTCAATGCCTTTAAGTTGAAACGTTCTAGGTTTGTAATGCGGATATCCATATATTTGCAAGTAACAGTCGATCGAGGAATGGTCGGCGAGCAGCGCGCCAGCGGTGAGTAGCGGAACTTTTAGCTATCACAAGAAGCAGGACGGAGTACCGATGCTTTTATGCACACTAGCGGCCTACAAATTAGTGATGCAAAGCATGTACAAATGCTAAAACAACACGTACTTTCTCGCCCTTATTAATGGTATTGTAATAGTATTTATACGAGAATGTCTCCCCGAATTAACACATCTGTCATTTTTTATAAATCGGATAGCATCTAAACATAATAAATGAATTAATAAGAAAATTAAACATTTTCACTTCATTAGAATACACATTTTACGCAAGTATTTATACATATTGGCAAAAGAAACTAATAAGCACTTACACAAATATATCGAAAGTTCGCCAATTTGATGACTAATAGTTTAATCTAAGTCCTCTTTCCTTCTTCATTGTCTCTCGTACAAACGGCATCTTATCAAGGATTGAGTAACTTGATTAATATTCAGAACTTAAAGCTTTAATTTTAAAATTCAAAAAGCTTTTGCTAATTAAGTCGTGGAAAATGTAATTCTTAATATCATCTAAAAAGATGGATTAAAGAAATATTTGCGAAACGAAATTACAGTATTTGATGTTTTGTTATTACTTGTTAATTTAAAACTAGTGATGCTACAAATGGCACAAACTATCTCGTATTTATTTTTTATTTTTTTTGGTCTAGGTTAACTATTCGAACTTGCCACATACTCTAGCCAGTTGCTATCTTACACCGTTCAACCGTACATTGTGTTTACATTTTTCATTTTTTCTGTTTCCTAATAGTAGAAACAAAGTATTGCTTTAATAATATTAAAGAAGAGTAAACTCACGTCAAATATAGCAATTTTCATTGTAAAATTTGGAGCGGTTTTTAAGAAAATGGCATTTAGCGTTACCGCAAATGTGAAATTTAAAGTTCTTTTTCACGGAATTCTTTTTTAGTATTCGAAACACTTAATTCAAAGTTATTTCAATCACTTTAACTTACAAATGTAATAGAGTTTACATATTGCTAGGAATGTGCAAATGAAAGGCGTGAGATTTATTTTCAAGAAATTGTATTTGTGTAATTTAAAAAGAAACTAATCAATACCCCAAAATAAACCTTGTCATATTAAACAGTGCAAATAGCACTATCTTTTGGGAAAATTGGAACCTTTTTTGAGAAAATGGCGTTTGAGCGTTTATGAAAAAGCGGAATTTTGAGCTCACTTTCACAGGAAACTATTGACATTTCGAGAGATTTCATTGAACTTTATTTAAAGCACACGTACTCATAAATACTATAACTAAATCGCCGCTATATGTGAGACAAATAAAAAAAGGTTTTTGTAATTTTTGAGGGAAAAAAAGAATATAAAAATAGACACTATATCATATCCTAAAGTACAGTCAACATTACTCCCATTAGAATTTTAATGAAAACGTTTGGTGCCGTTTCCGAAGAAATCTTGTTTTTGATTTTTTTAAATATTGCACATATTGCACGCAATATTGTGCAAAACTACTCAAATTTCCAAAAAAATGTACAAGATAATAATGAAAGAACTAAATATGAAGAACAAATTTAATTTGAAGGAAAAATCGCTATCTTTAAATTTGTAAATGTAGGAAGTTTCTGGAAAAAATTCGAAGTTTTGTAATTTTCGATAATTTTGAGTTAACAGTGAAAATTATCTCTGTCATCTTCACGCTGAGAAAAAGAACCGTTGGAGTGTCCTTGTAACAGTATCATGGATCTCATATACTCCAACGGTTCTTTTTTTTCGGTGCATAAGTGTATTTTACTGTGTTTAAAAAAAATCAAAGAAAAAATATTAAAATAAGCATCAACCGCCCTTTTTGGCACGTGGATGCTTTCAATATAATTATTTTTTTCATAATTCGTAAACATCTGCTATTATTTTCCACATTCTCCTAAAGGATCTAAATAGGCATTTGTTCTAAAATACCAGGTCTAGTAATAAGATAGATACCGTCAACTCACAGAAGAAAAAAAACTAGTGGTGCTACAGAACGGCACAGATGTTCTCGCACAGTTTTCTAATATTTTTATTATAGCTTTATTTTACTTATGCTTTTTATTATTCGCTAGCTTTCCGAGCTGCTCACCCCTCTTCCGAGCTGCTATCTATCGATGCCAGAACGAAATTTTATCACATTTTGACAATTTTTCGATCCCCAAATAGTAGATTCGGAATGTCTTCAAGAATATTAAGGATGAGTAAAACAGTACTGTATGAAAATTTTCATTGAAACAATTGGAGCCGTTCTTGAGAAAATGTTGTTTGAACGTTTCTGAAAAAAAGCAATTTTGAACTTATTCTCATAGAGAAATTTGAGTTATCGGGAAATTTCATCAGAAATATTATGAAGCACTTGTGTTCTCAAATGCAATAAAGTTAAATAAATGATCATAATGTAAATATTACCGACGTGAGAGAAATTTAAAAATGAAAATGTAAAATCAAAAAATCAAAATAGTGTTACTGTCATTTAGCATTATGCATTTAGAATTATCCGTACAAAAGAGTTTAAAGTAAAATGTTGGAGCGGTTTTTGAGAAAATCTTGTTTTTATATTTTTTAATGTTGCTCATATTTCACTCAAAATTACGCGAAATATACTAATATTTTTTTAAAAGTTTACACATTTAAAGGTATAATTTTGAAGAACAGATTTTATTCAAAGGAAAAATCTCTATCTTCAATACTGAACTGGGAGGATGATACCGCAAAAAATTTGAAATTTTACAATTTTCGAAATTTCAGGTATTTCAACAAAGTTGAGACCTACGCCTATGGCGAGGCTCGAGCCTGATCTGAGCTGTAGCGCCAGCAGAAGAAGAAACCAGTACCAGTTTTGCAAGGGTCATTTACGCTATTCCAGGACAAAGCTTAATTTAAAAAAATAGAGCTATTTTTGACAGAAAAATCGAAAATGTCCTTGAGTCTTCATGTAAACTACTCCATCCGTCCTTCCCCCCCCCCCAAAAAAAAAAACAACGGCCTCAAAGTTAAGGGGACACAATATCAGTCAGATCGATTGGGGAACATCAATTTTGTTGAAAATCTTGCATACGGTTTAACCGCTAACGTTGTTCACGAATAGACAGACTAACTGACGGACGGACGGACAGACAGACATTTTGTCGTTTAGCAACTTTTCGGTATTACGTACCCACCAATCGTGAAATCTGAGTGCAGAACTTATTCGAGGAAGTAATGTGCTACATATCGGAACAGGAATTAACCACGTTTTCGGTATCAGAGACCTACAATACGAATTTTTCTGCTGAAGAATCACCGTTTTTTGCTGCAGCATTACACAGCTTTTTCAATACTCCATATGTAGTATGCGAGAAAGTAATAATAGCAACTATCGTATATAGTGGAGTCGATAAGTCATTTTACCTTGCAAAAGGTGAGGTAGAATATTTTATTTTTTATTTTGTTTATATTGTTATTAGAAAGAAAATCCGACGTTTTCCACCACAAAATACTTCGGGAGAAGTTTGGGTAGCCAAAAAAACAAACAAATTTCGGGAATTTTTTTTTGCGTGATAACTTTTTAATGCTTTATCGTAGTGAAAATAGTTATGTACAATTTTCAAGGTCATAAATTCTCTATAAATTTGCTTGATAAATTATTTCTCTCCAATAAATAGTAACAGAGATACGAGATTTTAAAATTTCACCCAATTTTTTTTTATTCGAAAGTTGCCCAAAATTGCCAATGGTGTCTCTAATGAACTATTTTTGAATTCCTAAGATATTTATAAATAAAAAGCGGGTAAATACTAATGTTTTAATACTGAGGTTAAACTCGCGTTAGCAAGTTCTATTAACTATCCTATTAGTTGGAGTGGCAGTAGTCCTACACGTTCTGCCAACTAACAGACTTCAAAAGCATTTCAATAGAATAAAATAATGAATTTTCTTCTTCTTCTTC